ATAACACAAATAATTCACGAACTTTGGCTTAGTATGTAATGTCATCCCTAAACTTTTAAATTATTAAATGCGGTTCCTGAATTTTTAAACATTTTCATGTAGTCTATAGACTCTATTGAACATTTACCAATAGATGAGTGACTATATCGAACAAATTAAAAATCTAGAGATGACATTGCACATTGTGCCATAGTTCAAAATTCATATTGCACATTGAACCAAAGTTCAGTGATCATTTGTGTTACTATCCCAATGACAAATGAATATTTTGAAACTCCCCTAACTTTGATGACCCCAGACATTTCAAATCAAAGCGTACGTTAGAGGGAGAGATCGGCGTAACTAAATGAAAAGCGCTATCGCAAAATGAACTACGGTACGGCTTATCATGTCCTTGTTAATTGCATAGCCAACATGAGATTTTATCCTTTAAGTTATGGCAAAATGCACCCAATTGTGACGTACTATGACAGGATAGGATGCATGAATGTTTTCGAGTGTTCCGATATTTTCTATCCATCTACAATACGATGTAGACAATTGTGAAGAAACCAATTCTGTCCAGGGATGTATCAGCCTCGTTTTCTGCCCAATCGATTTTGTTACAACATTTTTATATAGATACCTATAGATAGTTCTCGCATTATGGTACGTAGCTTATACTTTTTGTTTAGTTAATGTTGAGGGCAATCCTTGAACTTTTCTTCAATTTCAATATGGTCCCCAAAAACCCGCTCGATGCAGTCCTTTTATCAAGTGTTTTGCCATGTCATATGCATTTCTCTAGTGCCGACTGCGCACCGGCGTATATCAGCGCAACATAACGATTTGAATTGTCAAGTCATTTTCCCAAATCGGCAAATCTCTTTTTTCATTTTCTGTTGAGCCAAAATAACAAGAGAGAGAGAGAGAGAGAGAGAGAGAGAGACATCTCTATGAGTCCAATAAAATCTTGAACTACTTGTACGAATACTAGGGAATGGATGATTTTTTTTTCCACTTCGCGGCGGCCATGCCTCTCCCGCCGCCGCCATGTGGTGGTCGATCAAGATCTCTCTATATTGTCCAAGTAAATTTGGCTTTCGGGCCGGCCTTACGCATTTCGGTACCGGGCCAAGCACGATCCGCGGAGGAGAGGAGAGGGGCCAGCGTGGCTTAGTATGAGGCGAGGACCATGATAGAGTCGACCACCACCATGATAGTCGCGGTCGATTAGATCGACCAACGCGGAAAAGGCAGGTGTCGTGATCACTTCAAACATCCAATAAACAAATCATTTGCAATAGTGCTAGTCTTTTGTTTGATGATGACTCGAAGTCCATTTACGTGCGTTTTGTCTCGTGAAAAATCAGCAGTTTACAAAAGATTTTCCGACCTTTAATCCTTTATATCGCTAAGAAAAACGAGGTTACGAAAAATGCTTTAATAAGTCAATGAAATATTTCCTCACGACTTTCCGATCAGCTAATCGTAACATACATCTAATTTTGTTGCACTAGAGTTTATTTTAGTCGTAACACAACAAATTCGACCTCACAAATTTTGATCAAGTGATGTCCGAGCATCAATTAAAAGCTGATTACTAGAACAGCAACATTAACACGCTCATAAGAGAAACACATCAACATGGGAAAAGCTTAATTAAGGGCCAGTAGAAGAACAGGCTAACTAATCCCTGTAGTCACCATCAGTAGCAATCCGGTCCATGATCTTGGCCACCACCTCCGCGGACTCCCTCAACAGCTTGACGCTCCTGCTAAGCTTCTCGCACTTGGCCGCCGCTGACGGCTCTTCCTCCAGCATCCTCTCGATGCCGCCGCTGCCATTGGGCCCGTTCAGCTCGCCCACAATCTCCTTCTCCATATCCTTGTTCACCGAGTTGTGCACGCTGAACGGCAGGTGCAGTGCCATCGAGTCCACGAACCTCCTCAGCATGATCTTCCAGTACGCGGTCATCCTCATCTTCAGATCGAACGTCTCCTGAACCAGCTGCTGGTGATTCCTCAGATGGCGCACGTCGACCTGCCCGATCCCCTCGAGGACCATGTTGGTGGACAGATACTTGGTGTTGATCACCGGTATGAACTGGTTCTGCTGGGTCATCAGCTTGTTCCACTCCAACCGGTACTCAGGGTTGCAAGTGTAGTCAGTGAGCTTCTCGTCCAATACTGCAGCTGAGGATAATTCTCCAAGTGTCGCATCAACTCCCGAATTACAACCCCCTCAATGTAGTCCCAAGCACGAACCCCGAAACTCGGTGGTATGCTCGATGCCGCCTTCACCTTCCGCTGCAAAAGGGTGAGAAAGGCGGTGTGAGCAAGGAAATTTGGGAGTCCGATACTTTTGGCCTCTTTCAAGACCTCCAGTTCCTCCAACAAGAAGTTAGTCCGTGGGTCGTTCTCGGGGCAGTTTTGGAGCTCATCGTAGTATTGGTTCAGCATCTCCGCCAGCCTGGCCGTGCAGTGCATGTTCTTCTCGTCTGGATACTCGTCGAACTCGCCTTTCAGCAGGACTTTCCTCAGCGACTCCTTCGCCGACCCCATCATCTGCATGAAGGCCGTCACGGCCTCTGCGACTGAGGACAGATTCTTGGGCATCCTATTGAGCTTGGCGACTCCCGCGTTCAGCTTGTCATTGATCCTCTTAATGATATCTGCCATAATGGTGGCTTGAATCTGCATCAGCTTTTGTGCCAAGACAGGCACACCAACGATGGACTCGTCAATTTTGCACAGCTGAGGGTGCATCTCAAACAGCTTCGCCTCTTCGAGCCTCGCTTCTTCGTAAGACTCGTCACCAATCCTGTTCCTCTCACACACATAACCAAGCCCTATATTGACGTCATCGGCGGTCACCTTCTCTTGCAAGACCTCCGGAGCTTTATCGGCCTTTGGGACAACAGCCAGAGTCCTTTTGCCGGTCTTGTCCACCATCTGAAACATAAAAGCAAGGGATATATACATTAAAAGTATTAAAAATTTTCACAAAAATACAATTGAGTCCTAAAACTTGTAAAAAGTATAATTGAACCCTAAAACTTGTCGAATTGATTCAATCGAGTCCTAAAATTAACACCGTCTAATTTATTAACCGAAAATGCTAACGAGGCACTGATGTATCATATTTTATTAATTTTCTTGAGACAGATGATATGGCATCCAACAAGCGCCACATTAGAAAAAGTTAAAAAAATATAAGTTAAATTAGAAAAAAGCTATAAAAAAAAGGACCCACAACCAGCAATTGTGACGATGGCCAAGTCCTTGCCGGTGGCCGTCGCCATAGCCGCCGGGAAGGGCCGGCGGAGATTGCCTGGGCCTTCCCGAAGCTCGGTGACCTTCACCGGCCCTAGGCAAGGCCCCCAATCTAGGGGAGGGCGCGACCAACACCCCAAATCTGAAGCCCTCGCCTGGGGCTGGTGAGGGCCACCGGGCTTCGGGAAGGCCCAGGCAACCCCCGTCGGCCCTTCTCGGTGGCTGTGGCGGCGGCCACCGGTGAGGGCTTGGCCACCGATACAACTACTAGTTTTGGATCCTTTTTTTTTATAGCTTCTTTCTAATTTAATTTATATTTTTTTAACTTTTTCTGACGCAACGCTTGTTCGACGCCACATTATCGCTACATGTCTCAAGAAAAGTAATAAAATAAGACACATCGGCATTTTCTATTAGTAAATTAGACGATGATGATGGCTTGGGCTTAGATGGTGGCTAGTGGCAAGCAGCTCGAGGACGTGACAGACACCGACGACCCCAAAATCAAGCCTAGCTAGATTTATTCAAAACCAGGCAGCGGCAACGACAAGCCCCTCCAATGGCGGTATTGACTATTGGCGAATAGAGATGTAATAACGCACAAATAATGCAAGCAAAAACGATACTATATATATTCGCAGGCTCGCGTGAATTTGATCCTGGAGCTCCAATGGTTGAGTCGCCTGGCTGCAGCATTGCTGTTTATTTTGCTACACTATCAAATGGGCCAAGCAAGTGAGGAACAACGCAATTCCATCCCAGATGGTAAAACAACCTAACCATCGCTGTTAGAAGGCCAGATCAGTACCCACTTGATTTTCTAACCAGTCTGGTCCACAGTGTGAAATTCAGTGTGATTCGCACGTTATCACGAATGCTAATAAGGTGAATAATTGAACCAGATCACCAGCCAGTTCCTAGTTCAAACCGGTTGAACTGGATAGTCCAGTCCGGTTTAAAACCCATGCGTCTTAGGCCAAATCGCATAACTCCTGACCGTTCGACATATGCATATGATCAAATAGCATAACACAAACACAATAACGAAGGCGTAAGAAAAGGCTTCCTTTTAAAAATTTCTGAAAGAAGTGTCACAGAATGATTGCTCAGTTACAGAATGAGCGAATGTATAGGTCCAATAGGAACCCATCCAACATATTAAATTTCTGGACTCACGCATCAGTGTAGATCCAGCTACTTTTTCCATCTATCTCATCTTCCCCTTGCTATAACGTGCATAAATATAACTCAAGTTTAGAAGTCATAAGTATGTGTAAAGAATAAATTATCAAGTTTCCTGTATAAAAAATGGCCTAATATCAAAACAAGAAGAGGGAATAAACAGGTTATATGTTTAGTACCTAAAACTGTGAGTTGCTGAGAAAAGCAAGCATGCATCTAGCACCTTGAAATAACTTATTCTCCAAAAGGACCTTTGCTTTATTCTGCAACACTGACTGGCGCCTTATTGTCTCCCCATGTATCTGGACGAACATAATAAGAGACGTCAAAAGTCACATTACCAACTTTAGGGAAGCAATTATGTTTTTTTTCTAAAATCAATAGTATATTATCGACTGATAGTCAAATCTGTATCTTCTCATTAATAATAGGCACCGGAATAAGCCAAAAGGTATTGGCAGTCCTTCCTAATATTGCCATCAAAATCAGTGATTCATTCACCACATTCCTGTAACGGAGATCTATACTTCAAACATGACATGTTGAAAAGATCAATAACTTCAAAAACAACCTGACTAGAGCTTGTACAAATTCAAAATTACTCCGGCATGATATTTCATGTATAAAGTAATCCATAAGTAATTCGATTGAAAGCAACTCGTCTCTTGTCAACATCTTGTAGATCATCATCATCAGCGCTATCGTCATAGCCGTCTATTATCTGAAGCATCCAAAGTTCCAAATCCAAAGTTGAGGGAGATAACCCTTTGATGTAGGCGGTAAAAGGCGAAACTGCAAAATGTCAAATCCAGAAATGTAGAATTAGCATGATTATCTCAGATGATACTTTCAGCACGGGTGTAAATGCTGAGATTTCCACGAGAACTGTCACTTACAGTTTTTGGCCTCTGAACAAGAATGAAGCAGTAGCAGAAACTGCGATGACGGCACTTCAGGTGTTATCTTAGATTTGTCTTCATCAGCTTTCATGTCTCCCTTATCAGACGTCTCAATTGGCTTAAATAATATTTCTCCAGAAAGAGATGGAATAGAGGGCAAAAAGAAAGGAGCTTTCTCAGGTTTCTTGGGTGGCTCAATGGACTTATTGCGAACCTATAAAATAAGAAAAGATGAGTGAAGATAGTCACCAACAGGTCCCCAATATGATTATAGGACAATCTTACAGAGACAAAAAAAAGCAGTGGAGAGGTAAATGAAACAAATCTTTCACAGAGAAGGTTATGACTGATAAAAAAAAAAGGACATGAGAGAGGAGACCTTTATAATGTCTAGATTAATCAAGCTCTGCCACTGGCTCTTCGGCAATAGCGAGAGGGTAACTAGATCCGGAATTTGCTCAAGCAAAGGATGGAAGGAAGGGACATCTTTAGACTCTGAATGCCTAATGGTAGGCTCATTAGATTCTTCAACTTGAGAACCTTCCACTGATGATACCGATGGCAGTTTAACAGTCACAACTTCTTTGCCACTTGCATACAAATTGATGTCAGAACTACCAGAAAACATTGATTGGTTAACCCTGGTCAATCAAAGTTCGTCTCTCATCAGTTTGTCTACATACAAAAGAATACAAAATCACCTTAATATAATTAATCTCTAGAAACCATGTTCTTAAGGCTTCATTATTCCTTATGTGTCTTGACCAATCCCAAATAGATACTTGAACCAATGTGACTCCAAACAATGAATGCGATTATATGACTAATTGAAAAATTAGAGATGCACTAACAACTTACCAGAGATAGACCCCATTTTGATCAACATGTGTTATGGCTAAAATATCCATATTTGGTGACAGAGATAACACCGTGATGGAGACATCGACATATACTGCATCTACTTGTCTAGCTAAAATAATATCCCAAATCCTTAGACTGCCATCCATACTGGAAGACGAGCCATTTCCCATCCACGCTAAAGCACAAATCTGTAATTCAATCTGTATGACCTTCAAACTTTCGGACCATTCTTAGGTCGACAACATCAAAAAGATGAATAACAAAATCATCTGCGACCGTAGCCAAAAGACCTGCAAGATTTATCAAGATAAAGTAGACAATTACAGTTACAAGAATAACAGAAGTTCTTTCTTTTCACTATAAATATAGTTTAAACTTATGCTAGTGTATACATAAAAACACATGCATGTATATAGTGCGAGTATGTGAGCATACACGAAAAAGACATTGCACCCACAGTGAAAGAAGAGCGGGGAGGGGAGGGGATGGGGCAGTGCTCAGACAATTAATCACCATTCAGACGATGGTAAGAAATTTTTACCAAAGAAGAACCAATTCCCCAACTAGATTTCAATTCACGTCCCATGATATCCCAGACCTGCACCACAAATAACTCCAGGAATCAGACTTACATCTTATCGAAGCTAATCTCAGAAAGATCTCTAGCACGTCAACAACAACTAAGCCTTATCCACTATTGGGGTGGGCCATAAGCATCCTTTTTGAGTATTAAAGGAATATTTGAAGCATTTTTTTAAAGTATAACTATAACTATAACACCTTTCTAACTATGGACAAAAAAGAGGGTAAGAGCATCAAGAAACCTGAAAATAAGATTTCCCCCGTTTTTTACCATTGACAAAGGTTGATCAATGAAAAGGTTTTCTCAATCGACTAAACAACATACTTCAATTCCAATTGAAACATGTTTTTAGAAGTGATGCAAGGGCACAGGATAAAAACAAGTTACAATTTATCAGATTCAGCAAGTTTACTTTTACAGTCCTCTTGTATTTTTACGTGAGTTTTGAAATCCTAGTACTATCGGCTCCACTTTTCCAGGCAGGACTCTCATGTATAATGGGTTTTTCATATTGTAGTTGAATACAATCCATCATTTAAAATGTTATTCCTTCTGTCCCTTAGCCTTGAATTCCAGAAGAAAGTTTTTCCAACGGTTTTTAAGTTCTTTCTGTTTGCTCATTCACTTTCGGCAACTATTTTTCTTGTTAGGGTTGTCGCTGCATCAAGAAATCATTTTCCCTAGCTAGCATGAGTTTCTGCTCCATTATACCCACGGTAATTAGCCACATGATCACGACCACGACCACCATCTCCAGTTGCTGCCACCAATCTCCAAATAGGGTGGCCAACTACCATCTTGAAATGCTATCCAAAAAATAAGTTGTATATACCAACTTCAATACATGTCTTGAAATTATTTTCAATTTAATGAAGAAGTTTCCTAATTTAAACTTTTTTCCACTGGAGTTTGCATGAAACAAGCACACTCCACGAATATATAATAGGCATCAATGAAGACTCGAGCATGAAACCTAGTTATGATTCGTTTTAATTAGCATGGAAGGCATGTGAAAAGAAAGCATATATTAGCTGGAGTTGCTAGACCAGCGACATAAAAACTCAACATAACCACCATCGTTATATTTTATTAACAGACAATTATATTCAGAGACTATAGCAAATTTAACCTTGCTGTCCAGTCATGTGTGCATGCATGTCAGAAGATATTCACTTCCTACATGCACGCAGGTAGATCTTCACTTACTAAAGGATCAGGAGAAAGGTAGAGAAGCTAAATCATATGCATCAAATTAAAACATAGCTTGCACGTTTTACATAAGCTATAACAAGGAAACTTAAACTAGACAATTTGCCAAAGAATTAACAGCTCCATGGACAAGTAGTAAGGCTTTTTGTTCTGATCAAGATTCTAACGTAGAAAATCATTTTAGAGTTTCAGAGGAAATGACAGTGTTGCATCTCTCTCTTGTTTAAGTGTAAACCAACAAACCCTAAACAAAATCCAATGAGCAGTAAAGTCCGTTTTGAAAAGGGAAAACTAAGATTTGCAACAAGAAGCACTTGCATATATGTCAGGATCAAGTTGGTAAATCAAAGATGTCACATATAACAGGCTGGACTTGTTTCGTGTGAAACGCAAACAAGAAACAAACATTTAAAGATTTAGTAATTGAAGTAAAATATGTTTGGACGTAATTACAGACCTTAATGTCCCCAGCATAACCATCACCTACCATGAGAGTATTAGTGGAATCACAAACCACTCCAACGACTTCACCATCAACGACTTTAGCGGTGAAGGCCTGAGTGGCATCCACAATGTCAAAGGCGGCTGTTTCTCGGCGTGATGCAGCTCGGACCATTTCCCAGGGGTCGATTCCGGCGGTGATGAATGATGATATGTAATTGGAGAGCATTTGATGTAAATCGACTTTGTTTTCTGGTATGGCCTATTCCTGCAAAAGGAATGATGACACCACGAAGATAGACTAATGGTATTAGACCCACGAAGGTTCCTGTGTAAAGCAAGTGTACATCAAGTACGGCATGTTGCGACAATGAATGACAAAAGAAAAATGACATAAATGATCCCTGAACTTTGACTTAACTTGCAATGTCATCCTTAAATTTTTAATTGTTTCAACGTGATCCCTGAATTTTTAAATATTTTCATATAGTCTATTGATTCTATTGAACATTTATCAATAAATGAGGGATCATATTGAACAAATTAAAAATCTAGGGACGATATTGCACATTGGGCCACAGTTCATGGACCATATCACACACCGAACCAAAGTTCAATGACCATTTGTGTTACTATCCCAATGACAAATGAATATTTCAAAACTCCCCTAACTTCAACAACACCGGATGTTTCGAATCAAAGCGTATGGTAGAGGGAGAGATTGGTATAACTCAATGAAAAGCGCTGTTGCAAAATGAACTATGGTACGACTTATCATGTCCTTGTCACTTGCATAGCCAACATGAGATTTTATCCTTTAAGTTATGGCAAAATGCACCAAATTGCGACATACTAGGACAAGATAAGATGCATGAATGTTTTCAAGAGTTTCGATGTTTTCTATCCATCTACAATACGACGGAGAAAATTGTGACGATAATTGTCTACACGACCATTCTGTGCAGGGATGTATCGGCCTCGTTTTCTGCATAATCATTTTTGCTACAACATTTTTATATAGATAGCTATAGATAGTTCTCACATTATGGTACATAGTTTATACTCTTTGTTGAGGTAATGGCAAGGGCGATCCTTGAACTTTTCTTCAATTTCAATATGGTCCCCAGAAACCCGCTCGATGCAGTCCTTTTATTAAATGTTTCGCCATGTCATGTGCATTTATCTAGCGTCGATTGTCGCATCGGCGCATATAGGCGCAACATAACGATCTGAATTGTCACATCATTTTCCCAAATCGACAAATCTCTTTTTTCCTTTTCTTTTGAGCCAAAATAACGAGAGAGAGAGAGAGAGAGAGAGAGAGAGAGAGAGAGAGAGAGAGAGAGAGAGAGAGAGAGAGAGAGAGAGAGAGAGAGAGAGAGAGAGAGAGAGAGAGAGAGAGAGACGTCTATATGAGTCCAATAAAATCTCGAACTACTTATATGAATACTAGGGAATGGATGATTTTTTCCCACTTCGCGGCAGCCGTGGTGGTCGATTGATATCTCTCTAGATTGTCAGAGGTAAATTTGGCTTCTGGGCTAGCCTTACTCATTTCGGTACCGAGCCAAGCACAACCCGTGGTGGAGAGGAGAGGGGCCGGCATGGCTTAGTACGAGGCGAGGACCATGATAGAGTTGACCACCGCTATGATAGTCGGAATCGATTAGACCGACCAATGCAGAAAAGACAAGTGTCACGCAACACTGTCACAGTTCCAAAATCACTTCAAACAACCAATAAATGAATCATTTGTAATAGAGCAAGTCTTTTGTTTGAAGATGACTTGGGGTGTGTTTAGTAACTTGCCAAATAATGATTAATTTTATTCTTTTATTCCTAGGAACAAAAAAAGAACAGAAATTCGTTTGGTAAATTTTTTGTTCCCAAATACAAATTTGTTCTCAGAATCAATTTTGGAACAGAATCAATAATGAAAAAAAAAGTTGATTCTTGATTATGGGAACAAGAATTACAAATAGAAGAGATTTTTTTTTCTTCTTTCCTGTTCTTCTTCTTTCCTGGCCGGCGACTGGCCAGGATGAGGCCTAGACCCTCGTGGCCTGGGCGAGGGCCGCAGGGTCCAGCCCTTGCCGGATCCGAATCTAGTGGGGGCGTCCCTCGCCTAGGCTGCGAGGGCGACCCTTGCCCTCGCCTGTGGCCGGTGAGGGCTGCGATGGCCTCGCCGGTAGCGGGCCATGGCCAAGAAAGAGAAGAAGAAAAAAAGAAAAGAAAAAAGAAAGAAATATTAAAAAATTTAAAAAATTTTATTAAAATATTATTAATAAAAATAAATTTTGTTCTTTTGCCAAACACACATTTGTTCTTTTTCTATTTCAGGAATGAAAATTTTGGGTCATTACCAAATGTCTTCAAATGGTTAGAAATTATTTCATTGAACAGAATAAAAAAAATCATTTATAAGCAAAAATTATTTCCGAGAACAAAATAGTTACCAAACGCACCTTTGAAGTCCATTTACTTTCGTTTTGTCTCGTGAAAAATCAGCAGTTGTCGCGCCGCGCTTTGGCCCACCCGATCACGCTAGGAGTTATTTTCGTTCATTTCTAATGATAATGTGATTTAATAAACGAACGAGGGTCTCCTTGACCATACCTCACAAGACAGCGAGTATTTGTTATTTAATTTTCTATTTAGCCTAAATTTTGCTTTGGAATCGCCACTAGTCTTTATTGATCGACTAGAAACCTAATCGAGGTATGGGAGAACTACCACGATTTCTATGAACTAAAGATTACATGGGTAAGGGGACTTTGTTACGCTAATGATCTCGATATCGAGATCCCTAATGCCCTTTCGGTACCTAAAACGATTCGGAGTGTCTAAATGTGTCACACGAGTTCGTAAGGCCTATCCATTAATTATAACCGTTCTAATAGGGAGAAATCAACCAATTAATAAGAAAATGTATGATCAATTTCAATCAAACAAAGCAATCCTAAAATGGTCTCTAAAAATGAAAATCAATCAAAACATCCAAACCCTAGTGGAGCCCTAAAGGCTTGTTCATTCAAAGGATTGTGTAGTTTTTTAGAATTTTAAGGTTTTTTAGGGGTGAAGACCTGTTTTGGGGGTGAAACCCCTTTAATCCCTAAACTCAAGAGTCTTCAAAAATATCACTTGGGTACCTAAAAATAATTAAATTTCATTCAAAGTGGGTGGCCACAGGTATTCTAAGCTATTATGTGAATTTTTGAAATTTTTTATTTTTAAATTTTTTATTTTGAAAAAAGCTTGTTGAAATTTTTTATCCTCCCAAAATCAGTTTCTTTTTATTTTCTGAAAATTTTTATTCATTTTTTCGAAATTTTCAAATTTCTTTCAAATTTTTATGATTTTTCTAGATTTTTTGAGAATTTTCGAATTTTTTTGAATTTTTATGGATTTTCTGAAATTTTTATGATTTTTATGAATTTCAGAATTTTTCTGAAATTTCCCTAATTTTATGAATTTTCTGGATTTTCTAATTTTTTTTACAAATTTTCCGAATTTTCTAATTTTTTTAGAATTTTCTAAATTTTCTAATTTTTTTAGGAATTTTCTATTATTTTATTATTATGTTTTATTCCAGGTCAAACCGGACCGAGCCGGTTCAGGCTAGTCCGATCACGTCGGGCCGGTTTAGCCGGCATCGATCAGCTCTCCGGCGGGAACAGTGCCAAAAAGGCGCCGTTTCCCCTCTTCTTCTTTGTGGCATTTCCTTAAACAAGTGGTGGGCATTGGAACCTATACTATCTTATCCTCACCGCCACTTTAGCCGCCGCTTCGATGACTTTCCGACCATGTGCCAACTACCCTAATCGGTCCTAAACATTCTCCAAATGATCCTCTACTCATCCATGCCTGTTATATTGCCATTGAATCTTCCTAAGCTATTGATTCACAAGCTCAAACTTCACTACTTAACATGGAAATCATTCCTTAAAAACTAAGCTAATCTAACATATCTAGCATTCAGATTAACAAACAAAACATCCTAACAATTTCTAGCGAATCATAACATGCATTTACGCTTAAATGGACAAGATAGACTGACTTGGTATGGCTAATGGCCATGGAAATACACTCCGGTAAGGGTTGATTGCTCCGGCGATGGAGTTTTTATGGTCCAACTCAATGCAAATGCCAAACCGTCGATCCAAAATGCATAAATCGAACCAAAAATGGATTAGGAACATAAAGGGGAAACCAATAAGCATCATTGAAATGAGCAAATCCAAAAACCATACACGAATAAGCTCGGGAAGTCAATTTTGGCATTTTATCAAACAATTAATGTATGACTGTGAAGCATATTTACCTTCGTAGTTGGGGAGCAAAACTCAGTTTTCGAATTGGACAGTGGCTATGGGATGGTCCATTGACACTTCTTCTTCGAGTTGGTACTCTCCACTTCGATGGGAAAGTCGCCGATTGGTTGATCGGGTCTCGTTTTCAGGACTTCCCAGTAAGCTGGTTTGCTTGCACGGGGAAGGGGAGGTCACGGCCAATGACCGATTTGCCGGCACTCCTCCGGTTAAGGCGGCGCCGGACACTCGGTTGGGGACCTCTAACCCTATCCCTCTTGCTTTCTCTCTCTAGTTTTCTCTATTCTCTCTCTCTCTCTCTCTCTGGCATTCGGTCGAGCATGTTCTGTGTGTGATAACTGGTTTTCCCGCCTCTTTTCTTCTCCTCCCCAAGGCAATTCTCATTTCTAACCGACTCGCCGATTGGTTAGAATGGATAAGGATAGACATTCTCCATCTGTCCATTTCATTTTTCACATGCCAGAATGGATAGTTTTAGGTCGGTGAAGGGGCAGGGCTGAACTGATTTTTTTTCCTCTTCATTTACCGTGTGCTCCTAGCCGGGTGAGGAAGAAGGCCAATCCGGCCGGGTCGGTTCGGATCCGACCGGCCCAAAGAAACCCGAGTTGGTCTTTTTTACAAATTGGACCTCGTTTTGTCCAAAATTTTCAATTCTAACCCAAAATTTCGAATCCTTGACACATTTTGCCTCAAAATATGAAATCAATTTGAATTTTCATCCTCGTTAGACCCAAAAATTCTAATTTTGCATTCGGTTTAATTGGGGTTTTATTCAATTAAAGGTCCAAATAATCCAATTACGCTGTTCCAAGGCCAAAATTGAATTTCCCATGATCAATTACTCCTAGGAAAGGTATGGGCTTTTATCAAAAATTTCAAATTGAAAGAAATCCCCAATTTGGGTCTTAAAATCCCTAATTTTCAATTAATTTTGGGGGTTTTTCAATTCCTTTGTCAAATTGTGAAATTAGACTGACCAATATGAAATTCAAGGTCCCATAATCAATTTTTGTGAAGACACCATAGCCCAAAAATGACTAAAGTGACTTAATTGGGTTTTTGGCACAATTAGGATACGAAATTAACCAATTTTGGGAAAAACATATCCCCAATTGAAATTTTATAAAATTGAAACTTCAGAGCTGAAATTGGAATTTAAATAAGACTAATGGCTATTTTTGGGACATTTTTAGACTTTATTTGGTGTTTCTCTTATTTTTTTTCTCATTTTAGCCAAAAGAAATTAAGGAAAAATTCAAGAAAAATCTAAAAAAAATTATTTTTTTGTTTAAGAATAGGTTCCTAAGCATGGCCAAGGTTTCTACTCCTAATTTTGTGATTTTTAAGTAAATTTTTAAAAAATGGATAAAAATTCAGGTGCCAACGGTAGTTTACAAAAGATTTTCCAACCTTTCATCCGTTTATATTGCTCAAAAAAATGAGGTTACGAAAAATGCTTTCATAATTCGATGAAATATTTCCTCAAAACTTTTTGATGAGCTAATCGTGACGTACATCTAATTTTGTTGTACCGGAGTTTATTTTAGTCGTGACACAACAAATTTGAACTCACAAATTTTGATCAAGCGATGTCCAAGCATCAATTAAAAGCTGATTACTAGAACAGCAACATTAACACACTCATAAGAGAAACACATCATCACGGGACAAGCTTAATTAAGGGCCAGTAGAAGAACAGACTAACTAAACCCTGTAGTCACCATCAGTAGCAATCCGGTCCATGATCTTGGCCACCACCTCCGCAGACTCCCTCAACAGCTTGATGCTCATGCTCAGGTTCTCGCGCTTGGCTGCCGCTGACGGCGCTTCCTCCAGCATCCTCTCGATGCTGCCGCCGCCATTGGGCCCGATCAGCTCGCCCACAATCTCCTTCACCATATCCCTGTTCACCAAGTTGTGCACGCAGAACGGCAGGTGCAGTGCCATCGAGTCCACGAACCTCCTCAGCACGATCTTCCAGTATGCGGTCATCCTCATCTTCAGATCGAACGCCTCCTGAACCAGCTGGTTGTCATTCCTCAGATGGCGCACGTCCACCTGCCCGATCCCTTCGAGGACCATGTTGGTGGACTTATAGTCGTTGATCACCTGCATAAAGTGGTACTGCTGGGTCATCAGTTTGCTCCACTCCAACTGGTACTCAGGGTTGCAAGTGTAGTCAGTGAGCTTCTCCATTTCAACAATCTCCATCATCCTATTCCTCGTCATCTCCCTCATCTTGTTGATCAGATTGGACGCTGCTCTTTTTGTCCGATACTGCAGTTGAGGATAATTCTCTGAGTGTCGCATCAACTCCCGAATTACAACCTCCTCAATGTAGTCCCAAGCACGAACCCCGAAACTCAGTGGCTTGCTCGATACCGCCTTCACCTTCCGCTGCAAAAGGGTGAGAAAGGCGGTGTGAGCAATGAAGTTTGGGAGCCGGATCCTTTTGGCCTCTTCCAAGACCTTCAGTTCCTCCGACAAGAAGTTAGTCCGTGGGTCGTTCTCGGGGCAGTTTTGGAGCTCAGCGTAGTATTCGTTTAGCATCTCCACCAGCCTGGCCGTGCAGTGCATCTTCTTCTCGTCCAGGTACTCGTCGAACTCGCCTTTCAGCAGGACTTTCCCCAGCGACTCCTTCGCCGACCCCATGATCTGCATGAAGGCCGTCACGGCCTCTGCGACTGAGTACAGATTCTTGGGCATCCTATTAAGCTCGGCGACCTTGGCGTTCAGCTTGCCACTGATCTTTTTGACGATATCTGGCAAACACTTGGCCATAATGTTGGCTTGAATCTGCATCAGCTTTTGTGCCAAGACAGGCACACCAACGATGGACTTGTCAATTTTGCACAGCAGAGGATGCGTGTCAAACAGCTTCGCCTCTTCGAGCCTCGCTTCTTCGTAGGACTCGTCTCCAATCCTGTTCCTCACACACACATAACCGAGCCCTATATTGACATCATCAGCCGCCACCTTCTCCAACAAGCCCTCCGGAGCTTTATCAGCCTTTGTGACAACGGCCAGAGTCCTCTTGCCAGTCTTGTCCACCATCTAAAACATAAAAACAGATTATTGTATCGACTCATTTGCTAGAGTTGTATGAATCATTCGAGTTTTTAATTGATATGGGAGACGAGTGTGGCTAGAGTATACTTACTTGTGACATCCTTATGGACTCGCAAGTGGAAAAGTCGACGGTCGCGGACACGACATTGAGGATGATGGTCTCCTCAGGCCTTATGTACTCCATTATCATCGCCGAGATCTGCTCGTAGATGTTCTCGGGCTGGCCGTGCACGGGCACTCTCGTGATTCCAGGCAAGTCGACCATGGTCAAGTCCGGGACGCCATCTTTCTTGACGACCAGAGTCAGTGGGGCATTCGATATGCCCTTGCCGGAGCCGGCGATCTCAACTGTCGCGGTGACTATGGCGTCGGAGATGTCGTCCTCATCATCGACATCCATGATCTTGCCGTTGAACTCGAGGTGGAGCTTGGGGATTTCGTCTTGACGCCGGTCTCGGAGGCGCATGATAAGGGGGACGCGCGTGCAGATGCCCTGCCCCCGCGGCAGGCTGATGCCAGCGAGAGACTCGAGGACGCTCGACTTGCCGGAGGACTGGTCGCCGACAACGACAATGGTGGGGAGTTGGATGCCCTCCTGCATGACCTGGAGGTTTCGGAGCTTGTCGACCGCATCAAGCAGAGGGCGGATCCTGTCGTTGTAGGAGGCGGCGATCGGCGGCGCCTTGAGGATGGAAAGGGGTTTGGGTTGGGCTTCACGGCGGGCAATAGTCAGGTCAAAATCCACATCCATTGTTTGCAGCCTCTCGAAATTTTCTTGTTCTATGGTTGAGTTTGATAGGTGAAGGAAATGATGAGAGTCTTGGTCCCATTTTATAGGGGTGAATTACCTAAAAAACCCCAAACTTTATGTCAAGTTCCAAATCTACCCCAAATTTTTTTTATCTAAAAAAAAATTTCAAACTTTAGGTCCAGTTTCAAATCTGCCATAAACTTTTTTTTTGTCTCAGAAAAAACCCCAAACTTTACGTTCAGTCCTAAATATGCCCCGAATTTTGTTTTATGTAAAAAAAAATCAGAGAATTTTAATTTATTTAAAAAAATAAACCCCATAATCCAGTCACAACTTGACGTGGCCCTTCCACGTCATAATAAACGCACATCAGCAAAGTAATAGGGCGATAGGTACAGACCGACGTCGCATTTCCACCTCGATAACAAATCAAACCAATTAAAAATTGTTGAAATTCTCTAAAATAAAACCATTCTAGAATATGAAAGTTAGGGATGATAACAAATCCACCCAAAAAAATTTTAATTTAAAAAAAACCTAATTTTTAGGTTCAATCCAAATTTTCTCCAAACTTTTTTTTGTCTAAAAAAAACCTCATTACTTTGTTGACGTGGATTTGTTATCGACGTGAAAGTGCCACGTCAAGTTTGGACAGGTTATATTTTTGAAAATAAATTGAATTTTGGTGATTTTTTTAATACAAAACAAAATTCGGGGTAGATTTAGGACTGAACTTAAAGTTTGAGGTTTTTTCTGAGACAAAAAAAATTTCGGGCCAGATTTGGGACTAGACATAAAGTTTGGAGTTTTTTCTGAAACAAAAAAAGTTCAGAATGGAATTGAGACTCAACCTAAAGTTAAAATTTTTTAGGGAAGTAGGCCCATTTTATGGGATAGAAACCTTCTATGAGATGTTACTTCTGCCAAGATTTTTTCTTGGATGACAAAAAGTTTTTTATAAAATTTAATGCGGGACCGATGCACCAATGGACAAAATTTTGTTGTCCCAAAGTCATGGACCCAGCAAAAAGTTATTCTTTGTGCTTTTGCAACAAAAGTAAACCTGTCAAAATTAAAAATATTATTTAAAGTTTGAAAAATATGGAAAACTTACACGTGAATCAACGTATCGAATTTATATATAAAAGTTTAGGGTGTCATGGAGAAAGAAAAAGTTAAAGTTCATCTATCACAAAATTTGGATTTAAGTAAAACGTAAAAAAATTATGATCTATGTAGACACATCTTCCTATTTTTGATAAGGATAACGTCATTGTTCGGCGTACGCGTAAGTAGTTTTAGAAAAATCTCACATTGATTATTTGATGTGGTGTAGTACAAATAATATCTTCATTAGCATGTGAGCCATTGCCTTAAATTTCGTTATCCATGGTGAATCTAATTGAGTATGGTGATATGATTTCTTTTCAATGCAATTAATCTTTTTCTTATTGGCACGATGTGACGTGATGAAGAAATCATAATCATCGGTGACCGAGGCAATTCAATTGAGTGATGGAGTCGTGTGCCAATAGAAAAAGTGTGCAATTAGGGCATGTTTGATAACATTTATATTTCTCTATTTATTTGTTCTTTTGTTTCCTGGAACAGAAAAAGAATAGAAGTTTATTTGTGTATGTCAATTAATTTTTCTATTTCTCAAAACATCAGTGGCTAGGTAATATATTTGAAACAGAAATAAGAAGTAAATTAAAATCTACTTTTTTGTTCCTACGAACAAAAAGAGAAACAATGTCATTTTTGATAAACAATTTCATAAACCCGAAACCATAAAACCCAAATCCTAAACCCCAAACCTAAAACCCCCAACCCCAAACCCAAAACTCTTAAACTCTAAATCCTAAAATCGAAATCCCAAAGCCCAAAACCCAAAACCGTAAAACCCAAAACCTTAAAACCCTAAATTGCAATTTCCTCGACCTCCATCTAGTATTTGCTTTATCTATAAGAAGTAATTTTCCTTATAATTATACTAAGGTCCTGAAACTCTATATTATAATATATTCTGATTCTATTTCTAGTCCAATTTTATCCAAACATAAATTGTTAAGTCTCCACTGATATTTTTATAATTAAATGAAAAAATTAGGAATATAAATTTTTAGAGTCGTACCAAACGTATTTATGTTCTTTTTTTCTATTTCGATAATAGAAATTTTGTACAATTATCAAACATGCTCTTCTACTCAGAAACTCGTCAAGAGAATAGAAATAGAAAAATAATTTCTGAACATAAATAACAATTTCTTAAAAAAAAATTATTCCCGGGACAGAAATGTTATCATATGCATCCTTATTGTCTAGCTATTTCCGACAAGACCTCTCTTTCTATTCTAATTCTAACTCTTATTAATGCAAATTTATGCTAATTTCTATTTTGCAAAATTCATCAGGATGTATTTTGTTTCAGTCTTGTGATTCGCATTATCTAATATAATACGATATTAGCATAGATCTCTCGACAATCGGTTATTGTCGAAAAAATGATTTCATCCACTCTTTTAAATGCAAAAGAAGAAAAAAAGTTAATGACCAGTGATTATATGGCGAGTTTCGATTTTATTCTCATTGTTTCATTAGCTTTATCGCTGCTATTGTTGTCGAAGTTTTTCAGCATTATCTTTCGGTACTTTTTTTTTATGAGATAATGATATAATTAAGTACTCGTGTAATGAGTTTCAAGTCAATTACAAGTAAAAAAGAAATAACGAATGAAAGAAAAAAGAAGATGGAAAAGGCAATGCAAACGAGGAATCGTGCTATGAAAGATGGTTCAATTTCCACAATATTCTCCTTCCATTTGAAGGGCCTCGAAGATAATCGATTTGATTTATTTTTTGTCAAGTAAAATTGGTTGCCTCTTAGAAAAGAAATAAAATAAGTCATATATAATGTGTTTCTTTCTGGAAAAATGAATGATTTCAAAAATATTTTTCTAAACATGATCGTTTACGAAAATGAACGATTGAAAAAAAAATTTCACTGTCAGCGAGAATATTTAGATGTAAATCATTATCGATAATAAAATATTTTTTATTAATTAATTATTTCAAACGATATAAATAATTATTTTTAAAAAAGATATTTTTAAATAATTATTTTTCGTAAAATAAACTGATACTAAAATTATATTCGGCCATCCTGACCGGTTCTTTGCTCTGCCAATAGGCTGGGCCTAGGAGGCCGCACAATTTTTTCCTTGGCATGTGTGAGACCGTACGATGGGACTTTTCTTTTCTTGTACGCTTTGTTATTCAGTAATGTACCTTTCCTTCCTTTTTTTATTCGCTTTGGACGCTTTTTATTCTTTTCACCTTTTTTTATTCTTTCCTTGGACCTTCGGTTTTAAGTAATTAGTTATTTAAAACCAAAATTCTACCTTTTGTCTTATAAAAAATTTCCAACTTTAAGTCATGTCCTAATTTTGTCCTAAACTTTTTTTATCCCATGAAAAACCCCTATTTTAGGTCAAATCTCAATTCTATCCTAAATTTTTTTATGTCTTGTAAAAAATCCAAGCTTTAGGTCTAGTTTCGATTTCACTTTTTTTTGTCTCATAAAAGATCACTAACTTCTACTTGAGTCCCAAATATGTTCTCCATTAACCCTCCGTCAAAATCGCCTTCAATAATTTTGCACTCGTCGATCTCTCTTGCTTTGGAATGTTCCATCTCCCGCGATTGGAGAGCTTGCGCTCGAGACACTCGAACAGCTCGTGCTTTAGAGTTTTCCATCTCTTGGTTGTAAACGAGAAATTTTAGACAGAGGGTTAATAGGGGCAGATTTGTGATTCAAATAAAAATTTGTGATTTTTTATGAGATTGTAAAAATTTTAGGGTAAAATTGGGACAAGACCTAAATTTGGGTTTTCATAGGATAAAAAAAATTTTAGGGTAGATTGAGACATGACCTAAAGTTGAGGGTTTTTTATGAGACAAAAAAAGTTTACGGTATAACTGGGACTAGACTTAAAGATTAAGGTTTTTTATGAAACAAAAAGGTTAAATTGGGATAAAAGCTAAAATTTGAGATTTTTTAGGGTATTAGGCTGAAAATTTATATTATAGAGTTTTCAAGAAATAAAGAAAACGTAAAATAGATTAAAAAAAACCAATAAGGATTTGGGTTGGTTCTATGGTTTGCTGGGGTTCAAGAATATTGCCCAAATCCAAAAATTAGTCATTGGGGATCAAGGTCGCAATGCCTTAACGTGATCCTCTTGCTTTGGAATTATCATGGTTCGTGATAACTGGAGAAGATATTTGTACGGTATCTGAGGACGTAACACGTCATTATTGGATTTATTTTGTTATGTGGCAGTGAAAAATTTTCGTAATACCTTTTTTATGAACACGTCGTATTATTTTATTTTGTAAGTGCCACGATTTACTTTTGTCTATTTGAGATCAAATGATTGACATCTAAGTATTGATCGACGGTTTTCTACTGTTTTTCCACCATATTGATTTGAGCTCGTCATGGTTCACGAGAGCTGGGGGAATTCGATAATATTCTCGTTGTTTTTTAGGCCGTAACTCGTTGTAATTATAGTCATTGCAACGGTAATCGATGAAATATGTTGTGATTGCTTTTCCAAGAATTAGATGTAGCCGGTAGTTGTGCATCTAGAAGTTTTGCACCATTATCGAATATCGATTGCCTATTCCTATTTTGGCCGATCACCTGCATCTGCATTATCGTGGCCTATGACGGTTGCGAACACTCGAAATGGTCTCATTGTATTTGGTACTGTAACACCTTACGATTGTCGTAAGCCAATAAAAATTTCGGCATTAGTTCTTCAATGAACAATACGTAATAAGTCCTAATGCATCTAATTTTGTCATGTCGTGATTTAGCTTTGTCGTAAAGTAATGCATTTTATCTCATAGATCGGTCGACCATGTCTAAGCTTTAGTTCGGCAGTTCCTACTTTTTTCCATCTAATTGATTTGAACTAATCATGGTTCATGAGAGTTGGATAAATTTGAAATCTCTTATGGTTTTTCAAGTCGTAACACATGGTAATTGCAATCATT